TGAGTTCAAGTCCTGCATGGGGCTAGCTGCTGTCAGCACAGAGCCTGCTTCAGATCCTCTCTCTCCCTCTCTCTCTCTGCTCCTCCCCCACTCACACATTCTATCTCTCTCAAAAATAAATAAACATTAAAAAAATCCCCTCATAAACAAGGGCTTAAGATAGCAGGTGATGGAACCCCAGATTGTCTTGTCCTCTGATGTAGGAAACAAAAGTAAATGAAAAATGAGGGGCTCCTGGGTGACTCAGTCAATTAAGTGTCGGACTTTGGTTCAGGTCATGACCCCATGGTTCATGGGTTCAAGTCCTGCTTTGGGCTCGGTGATAACAACTCAGCCTGAGCCTGCTTCATATTCTGTCTCCTTCTCTCTCTGCCCCTCACCTGTTGGTGCTCGTCTCTCTCTCTCTTAAAAATAGACATTAAAAAATTAAAAAAAAAAGTAAATGAAAAATTAAATTTCCTTACTGTCTACATCCCATTGACAAATCCTTAAAACAGGCAGAGTAACCTTCCTCTAGGAACTCAGATGTCTCACTGATAACACTTTGCTAAGGGCAAAAGGCACTCTTAGCCTGACTCCCCAGGATCCTGTAAGTCTACTTTAATATACAAAAATTCCTTTGGAGACTTCCTTTATCTCTAACCCCCTAAGATATATGTTGGCAATCATATTCCAAGCTTATGGCCCACTTATATACAACTGAAGGGCCTCATGACTGAGTTTTTACTAAATAGTAGTAAATAAGCTTTTCCTAAAAATAACTAGCCTCTTCAAGGTCCCAAAATTCGTCGCTTTCAAAATTCCTTGGAGATTTACACTATCCCTAACTCCCTCTCAACCTGAAGGTATGTAATCTGTCACCCATCACAACCCCAGTGCAGTTCTTTCTGCCCATAGGTCCTGTCCCCGTGCTGTAATAAAATCACCTTTTTGCACCAAAGACATGTCAAGAATTCTTTCTGGACCCAAAAACATCATCACTCCACCAGGCTATAGTTTATTTGGGGCAAATAGTGTGTTTCACTGATGATTGCATCCCTAATATCCAGCATGGGGCCTGAAACTCAGAGGGTACTCAATATTTGGTGAATTAATCAATAGATAAATGTAGTCAATCACAGAATATCTGGATTTGCTCCATATGAAATAAAGAAGTTCTTTTCCTTTTTAACTTACATCTGTTACATTTTTTAACTACATTTTCAATAGTTTCCCATTTTTAAGCTTTTACTTGTCTTTTCATGGAGTAAAGCTATAGATGGTTACAATATTTTATCATAGAGATGATGATATATCTAACCAGCTTATCATCAGGAATATCAAGTTTAGTTTGTAACTTTCAGGAAGCAGAATTTGATACTGTAAAATATTTTTCTTTGGCATAAGAATTATTTTAGTCTGAGTTTTTTTAAGTTCTTTTTTTTTATTTTTTTATTTTTGGGAGAGAGAGAGAGTGGCTCTGCCAGTGCAGAGCGTGATGCAGGGCTCACATTCAGGAATCATGAGATCATGACCTGAGCCAGAGTTGCCTGCTTAACCAACTGAGCCACCCAGCGCACCTAGGCGAAGTATTTTTAAGAAACAACATATATAGGAATTGCTCTGCAAACTGAGTAGAAGTCTCCTTTTTGTAAGAGACAAATTTATAAGGGAAATCTCCATTTGTAAAAGTACCTTTCTGTCAGCATTAAGAAGAGAAGGATGGCTCTCAAAGCTTTTATCAATAGAGAAGGTCACAACCAAAATCTGCATAACAATCACACCCTTGTTTTCTGTGCTTTTCCTGATAGCCTCCCTTAAGTGGCTCACTCTCCCTCTCACCCCCCACCCCCAACATCTTTTGTCCTTAGCTGGAGATGATAGCTAAGGCCATCTCAGGAAGTGACTCAGTTTTCCTGGGTATTTCCCATGTATACAGGAGGCATACAGTTAATAAACTTAGTTGTTTTTCTCCTGTTAATCTTTTATTACAGTGAGTGTCTCAGCCAAGAACCTAGAAGGGTAGAGGGAAAAATTATTTTTTCCTTCCCTACACTTTATTTTTGACTCAAATAAATGTAATATGTTTCAAAATAACTATATTCTTCCCAGGCATATTTTGTTTCTACTATGATGGCAATGATGAAGTTAGAAATAAAATTGAATTTTACACTTTAGCATAAAGTTTCTGCTTGCTCTTTGGATACAGACATATATTAGCTAAATTTCCTAACTTTAAAAAGTACAAAATAAAAGCCATCTTTAAGAAACACAAATACACGGGGCGCCTGGGTGGAGCAGTCGGTTAAGCGTCCGACTTCAGCCAGGTCACGATCTCGTGGTCAGGGAGTTCGAGCCCCGCACCGCATCGGGCTCTGGGCTGATGGCTCAGAGCCTGGAGCCTGTTTCCGATTCTGTGTCTCCCTCTCTCTCTGCCCCTCCCCCGTTCATGCTCTGTCTCTTTCTGTCCCAAAAATAAATAAACGTTGAAAAAAAAAAAAAAAAAAGAAACACAAATACAGTAAGCCTTAAAATACAGACTAAATAGGACACAAATAGGGTTATGATAATGAAATTGCCTTCAAATTATAAACAAAAGACTGATTATGAAATTAACTTCTCTTTAAGAGGTCCAAAACAAATTTGTACTTTAAAAAAAAGTAACTGCACCAAAGGAAAAAGCTGGGAAAAACAAAACTTTCCAACGGGATTTAAGAACGAATCTAACCAGAGGACACTATTAATACAATATTTGATGTGCTAAAATACTTTTAATTATTTCTGAATTCAAACCTGCTTTCGCTTACTTGAAATTATTGCATAACTCAAAAGTGCCATTATAATTCAACCCAAATGGTAGGGTACTTCAATGAGCTGGTGGAATTGATTCTGGACATTAAAGAGATGCCGGCGAAGTTATAAATTGCTATTCTAATCGGGAGTGAAGAGGTTAATTCAAGATTCCACTAAAAAACAGACTGGCAGAAATGTTTCCAGGGCGTACTTTTTTTTCTTCATCCTCTCTCTCTCTCTCTCTCTCTCTCTCTCTCTCTTTCTTTTTTTTTTTTTTTTCTCAGTAGGGGTTTGGAGAAGAGGTTTGGAAGGGAAGGAGAGGGCTGGTTCCAGGCCCCCAGCATTCCCCAGAGCACCGTTAGGGAAGGGGGAGGGCTTCCTGCCCAGGCAGCCATCTGTAACATTCTGCAAACAGCAGGAACCTGGACTGCTCCAGTCAGTAAGCCCGGGTGAGGATTCTGTCTGCATTCAAAAAGGAGTTTGCCCTCTTATTTCTTGCAATCTCTCTGCCTGGAATATTTTCTTTTATCTGTTGCAGGTGAGCAATGGAGCTGGGTTCTCAGGAGTTGCTTGATTAAATAAAATAGTATCTCAACGATGTCAGAGCAATACTGTTGGGGACACCGGCTTGACCAGTACCAAAATACCCAGCCTGCCTCCTGGAATGTGCTGGCAGCAAGCTGGGAATGTCATCATTTCAGCTAATGTCACACTGTGGAACACTTTCTGGGATCAGTGGACGTGTGTCTGATGTTCCCTAACGTTACTGCTTTCTAGGCTTGAGTCAATTAGAGTCGGCTTTTTTGGAAAGTGGTGTCATTTAAAACTTATTTTATGAAAGTTATTTTTGTGCCTATAATTTGGGGCTCACACGTCTGTTATTTCCTCCAGTCCTTGGCGTGCATAATATACCGCCTATGGAAAGTAGTAAAGAGTGACAATGGAAAAAATAACAAGGGCTTTTTACTTTTAACATCTGGAGAAAACACATTTAAGGAAATGTTAACAAATAGGTACAGGGATTGATAAAGTTAAAAATATATCTATATATATCCTTCCTTATAGAGGTAAAAACAACCTAGACAGAATTTTTAAAATCACTTTTTATACAATAAAAATTGAACAACGAGAATGATCTTATTTAAGAAGACTCAGTTCACATCTTTTTGTAGAGTCATTCAAATGACTAATATCAAATCCCCAAAGCACATAGGTACAAAAAAATTTCTCAACAAAGATGAAAGGCGTAGGGATTCCAATTTTCACATTTTCTTACTTTCCACTTTTTGGTAAAGCTTTACTATTATATTTAACTTCCTGGCAGCAGACTAAAGAAACAAGCAAATTATACTGTAGAAATGAAACCTAAAAATCAGAAAGAAAACTTCAAGAAACATTCCAGGGCAGAGATAAATACTAAGACAAATAATGCAGTCGTAGTTTTATTGAGGAAAAAATGTACAAATGTGAAAGTACTCTGTTCTTACACACCAAAATTACTTAAAGACAAAATACGGTTCAAGGGAAAATAAATTATAATGAATATATACTACTGTATTAACAAAAGAACAGTGGCTACATTTCAGCACGGTTTTCTACTTCAATTTTTTCACATTTTTATATCTTAAAGTAAGCATTGGTAAATATTCCCATCTGGTCTAAGTTTTTAGTTTTGACCCTGAATCATAATTTTATATCAGTATAGGCTAATTTATAAAGGCACTGCATCAAAATTTGAAAACACAATGAATCAAATATAATAGTTTCTTTTTTCCCAGAATTACCCAGTGTCCAGGTGAGAAAAAAAATTCAAAATCTGTATTTGGGGCAAAAAATGTATCAACAGAATAACAAAACTGCAAGATGGGGTTTGTAGAAAATTTTAAAGCTTTCGAAAATAAGTGGATTGCTTCCAGGTGCGTGGGGCTAGTGGTTATAGGGTTAGAGTACCCTTGATGGGGAGCAGGGGAGGCACTTCCTCAGGTTGCATTAATTCCCTCCCTGTGTCCAATCATCTTGCTGTCAATGTCCAGGATGGAGCTCTGAGTTTTAACAAGGCAAACTTAATTTCTATTTAATATTGCAAAGCAAAGGGCCAATACTATCACCGGGATCATGAGACTGCCATATAATACCAGAAAAACAGACTATTAGTTTAAAATTTCACAATGAGAAATAATTATTGTAAAAAGGATACTGCTTTGATCCACACGATTAGTGCTACTTACCTGTACTCAAGCCACTTAGGAATCCACTCAGTTAATGAATTTGTAGTGAGAACTTTGCCGTGCAAGATCAAAACAGTCCAACTCTTTGCGACCAGTACATTTTCTTCATGAAGGCAGATTTCCCTTCTTCAAATAAAGGAATACACAAAATAATGCTACAGTCCAGATAGGAGGTCCTGGGATCCATTTTGTCTCTTTAAGAAAAAGTAAATGTTGGATGAGGTGCAATTCTAAAGTACAAGTCTCAGCAAATGATTTTATCTCCCTCATGCCTATATTTTTCCAGACAGTTTTTGTTTTATATAACTTCTAAGCACTGACAGCAGAGATCACTTACATTTACTGATTTTTTTTTTCAAGGACCACTCAAGAGAAATGGTTATTGTGACAGATCTCTAAACTCATGGAAGCCTCGATATTTCTGGGCTAGAGTAAGATACTCGTGAACTCTTAGCTATGTATGTGCCAATAAAAGACTGAAAGTCATTATGGGGATGTCTACACCCGGTTAGCCACTTTACGATGCCCATGGGGTTAATCAACAAAACCCCTAAGTAAGAATAATTACTCCTCCCTTTCAGATGAGGAAATTCACTTTAAATAACATTTTCTAGTCACTCCTCTGGTAAAGGCAGCAAAAGTTTTTGAATTAGATCTCTCTGACATCTTAGTAGGATGACATAGACCTCCTCTATTTTGACTTATACTTAGCTAAAGGGAGACAATGCCCCATCAACTAGAGATAGGTTACTAGAGGACAGGAAAAGTAAGGTTTGATTTATACATTCCCAGAAACCAGTACAGTAAAAGCAACTGAGAGCCTTTCTTAGTATTTGCTGAATGAATCAATGAATGAATCATTTGCTGAATGAATCAATGAATGAATGAATGAATGAATAGAGTGAACTCAGTAGGGTTGAATTGCCAGTGTGGAAAGCTGTAGACTGAATATAAGATAAAGCGATTTGTATTTTAGTAAGCTGTTTCCTTCAAATATATAATAATCCTTTAAGGATAAGAATAGTGCTAAAATTATTCCCACAGTTTTGGAATTTCCTTTTTATCTAGCTGTTTTTCTTAGAATTATCAAATGGAAGGAAAAAGAGTTTCATATCCACACAATTTAAAAGTATAGTCATAGCTCAACATCACAAGTAATTAAGAAAATGCAAATCAAAACTACAGTGAGATACCACCTCACGTGCATTAGGATGTTTACTTTAAAAAAAAAGAAAGAGGAAAATAACAAGTGTTGGCAAGTGTGTGGAGAAACTGGAGCCCTTATACGCTATTGTAGGGAATATAAAATGGCATAGCAGCTATGGAAAACATATGATGGTTTGTCAAAAGTTAAAAATAAAGTTACCATATGAGGCAGCAATCCTAAATCTGGGTATATACTTAAAGATTGAAAGCAGGGCCTTGAGAAGATATGTGTACGCCAATGTTCATTGCAACGTTATTCATAATAGATCAAACATGTTAGCAACCCTAGTGTCTACTGATAGATAAATGGGTAAGCAAAAGGTGGGTAGATACATACAATGGAGTATTATTCAGCCTTAAACAGGAAGGAAATTCCGACACATGCAACAACAGACATGAACCTTAAGGGCATTCTGCTAAATGAAATAAGCCAGTCACCAAAAGACGAACACTGTCTGATTCCACTTACATGAAACACACGCAGGATAATCAAAGTCCTAATGACAGAAAGTGGAATGGTAGTTGCCAGGGGCTAGAGTAAGGAGGAATGTGGAGCTATTATTTAATGGTATAGAGTTTCAGTTTTGCAAGATGGAAAGAGTTTCGAAGATGGTTGGCGATGATGACTGTGTTGTACTGCTGAACTTATACATACAGTTGATTAAGATAGTAAATTTTATGCTATGTGGATATTACCAAAATAAAAATTCTGGAAAAACCTATAATCAGAGAAAGACATTGGTCCAAATACACAAGTCAGTTTGGGCTTTATTGAGCATTAGCCCTTCCCCATTATTTGGTTTATTAGTTTAATGTAGCTGAGTCTCATTATTTAATTGTATTTTTACTAAGAGGGAGGAGGTGAACATATGTGGACCTTGGTTAATTATTTAAGCAAATCTGGCATCTTTCACACTAAAATAATCTCTTTTGTTCCCTGGGACTCCTAAGAAGCCAATGCTTAGATATTCACAGGAAAATATCACTGAGGCGTGTTAAGAAAACTAAGCTATAAGAAAATTCAGGTCTTTAAAGGAATACCACTGTAGTATCAATTATTTATTAGCACCAAGATTTAAATTATTGACTAAGGCCTGGGCATAAAGAGACAACAGCAGTTAATGAGCTTCGTCTCTTGTCTCACATTATATGGATTCTAGAAACTGATTTTGGAATACTAGCCTCTAAGCAATGAAGCTTCCAGGGGCCATATGATAGCTTATTTAGCCAGGAGATGATTAAAATATCTATTTTGTAAAATTTAATTAGTAAATATTATTGATCATAGACTATCATATCACCGAGTAAGTAGGAAGCATACAAGTATGACAAACAATACATATTTTTATAAAGTAACACTTCCTAAATCTAAAGTTATTGCATACGTGTGTACGTGGTTTTTCTTTTAAAACTGACTGCCAAAATGTTAAATGTTGTATTCTTCTATCAGAGTTTAGCAGTGGCAGTGGTCAAAATCACACATTCATGGCTCAAAAGATCTTTCATGATTTTTGTTTTAAACCATTTCGTGAGGTCAAGTAAATTTTTCTTACTTCAAATTGTATCTATTCTAATTATATAAGCTTCCATATTTAAGATTTTAATAAAAGGGGCCAGTAAGGAGGTAGAGGTACACAGAAGGGACTCTCAATATTACGCATTGTAGGGATTACACATGCTCTTAGCCATGGGATACATTTTTACATGTTATTAAGGCAGTTATTCAAAAGAAGGCTGTGTGGTACCTTGCCTTGATTGTTCAGGTGAGTCCTGGTGGCAAAGTCAGCAGCCTTCCTTAGGTGTCACGAGGACATTTGACTTTCAAAGAGAAAAAGGAGCTACAGAACCTGAACAGCTATAATTTCACACACAAATCAGGTAGCCTCCAGAAACTCCTAGAAACAACCAGGTAGTTTTTTTTGAAGGATGAGGTAAGTTTTTGTCGACATTCATGTGAAGGTGAAACCTTCCAAATGTGAGTTTCAGCCAGAGTGAGCCCTTTTTTCCTTTCCCCTCCGTCCCCAAACTAGCCAGGCTGGGGACATTCACCGAAGACAACTTCCATCTGTACATTTTACCTGGTATTTATCTTCTACCACTTTGGATTCTTACATTGCTGTATGCTTAGATTTCGTTTCTCTGGAACCACAAACGTGTCAATGGTATGAGGAAGAACTTTTTTCTTCAGAGAAGTTCAACAGGTAAAGCCGCAGAAGGCGCTTTTGATACCAAGGAATCTAGGCAGAGGAGGCGGGGAGCCTCACCAGCAGGATTCACCAACCGCGAGATTCACAGAACTGGCTGCTGATGGTGTATGTCTGGTAAAGGGTACCAGCAAAGAGTCTGTGGAGAAAAAAGAGATGGATCGGCACTGGGAAGTATACATGGGTAGTTTCTCAGCTGTGACGAGTTATTAATGAAAGCAGTCATTAAAAGCTTTCAAGAACAGGGGCGCCTGGGTGGCTCAGTCGGTTAAGCGTCCGACTTCAGCCCGGGTCATGATCTCTCACTCCGTGAGTTCGACCCCCGTGTCAGGCTCTGGGCTGATGGCTCAGAGCCTGGAGCCTGCTTCCAATTCTGTGTCTCCCTCTCTCTCTGCCCCTCCCCCGTTCATTCTCTGTCTCAAAAATAAATAAACGTTGAAAAAAAAAACTAAAAAAAAAAAAAAGCTTTCAAGAACAGATAAGCAATTTTTATTTCCTAACTGCCAGTTCTGGAAAGAGCTTTGCAGAAAAACAAATCGTGTATTGATGGGGAACATAGAGAAGAAAGGGACTTACCTGGAATATGGTGATTTCCTTTCTTGGTGGTCCATATTGCTTTTGTCATCCCACGGTGGGTTTATCCTGGCTAGGTAGCATCATCGTGGAGCAGTAGTACAAAGGTGGATGGGAGCGAATGACCACTTTCTCCTACAATGCACACGTTACCAAGTTTTTACTAAGTCAGAAGTAGAGATGTTAAAATTGGAAGACTAATCAGAAATGTGATACATGTCACCAAAAAATGGCACCCATATTTCATCTTTGGTTTGATTTTCACTTAACATTTGCAATGTTTAGATTATTGCAAAACAAGTTAAGCTGTACATGTATTCCACAATTTGTGTAGCTAATTTCATGCATAAGCCACACAGGTGTATGCTGTCACACGGAGGTGTCACGGAGGTGAGGATAGGGACAGCTACCCTGGCTGTTGGTGGTGGTAAAATTATAATGACAATTATGTTATAGTGTGGAGAAAGGAACACTGTGAGCCTCTATGACAAGGTAATTTTCACATTTGCTACTGACAGCCAAGGCGATTATGCAATTTGTGAAAAATAAAAACAGTAACGGAGTAACTGTTTTTGGTTTCGACTTAACAGTGACCTCTCTGTGCTCTTTTCCACTGTTTCTTTCTGCAGCCACATTGTTTTCCCATCTGATCCTCACAGCCATACTATATGAACCCTATGTTCCAGATGAGGAAACTGAGGAAGCTTCACCAAGAAGGAAATAAAGCTGGAACAGGGGCTTTAAGACCAGAGTCTGTACACCTCTCACCAAGCATGCTGTCAATAAACACATTCGTCCACAGAGACTAAGGGTTACTTCCTGAATGTTCTTGTCTTCCTGAAAGACCTTTCAGCAAGAACTGCTCTAAAAAATAAATTGGGGCAGAGTAATTTAATGTGCTTGTGTCGCTGTCTACTCATTGTCTCTGTTTTAAACAAGAACACATTGTGAATCCATTTCTCAGCAACAATGCCGAGTATCACTATTTAATTTAAGCTTCATTCAGGAAATAAATAGCAAGTTCTAATATGGGCTTGTGAGGTGCAAATACATGTGTATACATACCAGCATGAATGTACATGAGTCCCTTTGCTCTGCTCAGTCACAACAATTACTATGAAAGCTTCAGTAACTTCATTTTGGCAAAGAGAATGATAGGTCTGGGAACCAAATGTTAGCCTTAAGTGTGTTTTTCTGTTAGATCATTAGGTTTCCTTTTTCTGTACTTAACAGATGTGTAGAAATTAAATGGGTCTGGAGTCACTAATACCTTATGAATATGAAAAGCATATTCCTTCCTGTGAATAAAACCAACCATTATCCCATTAACCGATCTAAATAAAATATTGTCCTGTGCTCACAAAAAATATTTTCTGATGCTCTTAGTTCCACTCTTTACTCTCTTAGCCACGGGAAATATAAACTAAAAAGCCGCTCAGGCTGTGAATAGGAGAAAACCCTTACTTTTGCATTCTTTTCTACTTACCTATTAAACTCTCAGCTCGTGTAGTCTTTAAGGAGTGAGTGGTTAGTCGGCTGGCCCCGAATATTGTAAGAAATATCAGAACACGTGCTACATCACACACAAATCACTGGATGGAATAGTAGGAAGGGACTCTGGAGATTACCTGGTTTAATTCCCTCACTCTACAGAGGAGAAAAGCAGGGTCTAGAGAGGGAAGTCCCCTGCACAAGGTCACAAGTATAATCAGGGGCAAACCACGTTTGTTGATATTAATACAGTTCAGCCTTCCCCGTTCTCCAAACTGCTGGTGGCTGTGACACGGAAGAAAACACAGCACTGTTGATACACGAACAAACTTCATTTATTCATTTAGTATAGTCAGTCAACAGTTAATATACATTTATTGAGACTTCCAGCAGGTTAAATGTTGAGCGTTCACAGCTGAACATTATCAAACGAGGTCCCAACAGGCAACAGCAGCTCCCTGTTTCCATAGGCACCTATCAGAATGAGTTGGTTCTTAACAAGCAAAGGCCAATGAGAACTCTTCATAGCACATGAGTAGTGGATCGAGATAACAGCTCCTGCTACATGGAGTAAGAACATTCAAAGAATTGTACATTAATATTTTCTTTTTTTTTAAATATTTCATAATGTTTATTTTTGAGACAGACGGAGACAGAGCACGAGTGGGGGAGGGACAGAGAGAGAGGGGGACACAGAATCCAAAGCAGGCTCCAGGCTCTGAGCTGTCAGCACAGAGCCCGATGCAGGGCTCGAACCCACAAACCGTGAGATCATGACCTGAGCCGAAGTTGGATGCTTAACCGACCGAGCCACCCAGATGCCCCATTAATATTTTCAAAATCAGTCACAGTTGCCACTTTCTGTTGTCATGAAAGACAACACTTGAGTAGCAAAAATAGAGCCAGGACCCTGATTCACATACTTCACTGATTCTTGAATGCAGTCTTTCTCAGGTTTCCTACTGTCTAAAACTATTCCTGGTAGGTTGTTTTTGTTTTTGTTTTTAATTCTTTTAAGCTCTGGGTCACAGGTCAATAGATTGGAGGGTTCTTTTAGGTAGATATTCTCAAAGAGCTAAAAAAAAAAAAAAAGAAGAAGAAGAAGAAAAGAAAAAAAGAAAATGAGAACAAAGTATTAACTGACACTTCTTTAAGAATGCCAGGCTATGGACACCTGGGTGGCTCAGTTGGATGATGACTCTTAATTTCAGCTCAAGTCATATCTCATGGTGGTGGGATCGAGCCCCAAGTTGGGCTCCATGTTCACTGTGGAGCTTGGGATTCTCTCTCTCAGCCCCTCTTCTGCTCATGTACTCTTTCTCTCCCTCTCTCAAAATAAATAAATAAACTTTACAAAAAAAGAATGCTAGACTAGATAAAAGTCAGTGTTACTTTCAGCTAAAAATTCTATCTCAGGAAATACATCATATTTTTATATCACTAAATGGTTTTTTTAAAGAAATAGAAACATGTATGAATGAATACATGTCTGTAACAGGATTACATAAAAAGTAAAAATCAAAAATAAATTCCTAGAAGGCAGGGACAGTGCCTAGAAAGTCATTGTACATTCAGGTTATAAACGCTCACTAAAATGTAGTAAAGCACTCAGAGACTTTTAACAAATCTCAGGAAGTATTCAACAATCCTACAGATAAAAGCTAATAGAAAATATGATTACTTTCAAATAGAAAACTGCTTCACTCATTCTACAACCATTTCACTAAGCAAAGAAAATGAAGAGGCTCTAATTTCTAATTCTAAATGGCACAGCGTGGTGGTTGACCCTGGGGAAGACAGATCTGGTTTGAAATACTGGTTTTTTTCAGAGTCATTCCAATAAGATTCAATAACGCTGGCAACTATGAAGATGAAGTAGTGAAAGCTTATGCTTTATATTCCTAAATTCGAACACAGTTGAAAAGGCAAAATTTTCATTTAATATTTTAAGCAGCATTTCAGAAATGATACAGATCACTTCCTATATTTCCTTCATTCCAGTGAGATACATTATTCACCAAATACTACAAATCCTTTTCTGGTTTCCCCACGTTGAGATCTTCCAGAGCCAGTTGTTATTTCTATCTCTTAAGGGCATGGAAAATTAACAAGCAGCAGAGTAGAAGCTGAAGTTACAGAAGTGACTGAGAACCAAAAAGGATTTACTTAATCTCTTATTTTATGTGAAAAGAGCCTTGGGCCCTAAAGAGGAAAGTGAGTCTGTTTCCTAATTACTGGGAGGATGGTTTCAGTGACCATTCCATTGCCAGAAGAGTCCACAAATTGGCAGCCTGGCCCTTCCATTCCTCTTTTCTGGTATTTCAGCAAGATAAGGTGGTGGGGGATCAATTATCCCCACTGTCTGTCTGTACCCTGGGCTTTCCATCTTTTTCTAGCAGTCAAGGACAGTTCCTTTCCCTGTTTCAATGCCAATCGCCTCCCCAACCCTCATTTTCAGAAATCAGTGGAATCTGCCTTGGGTTAGAAAATTTCCAAAATACTTCCTAGGCAGAATCATGGAAATTAAAGATGTGGAGGACCTCATTGGATCATCTAGTTCATCTATTTCCCATTAAGGAGTTTTCCAGATGGAAGATTTTCATATGCTGGATGCCTCCTCTCATTTCTGCAGGGCCTAAAGTCAGATTTTGAGCATCCAAGCCTAATGTGGAGAGGTGAATAAGGCCTGCATTCAATAATTTCATAGACAGAAAAGTGCCTTATCCCAAAGGTGTTATCATATTACAACAACTTTTGGATGGAAGTAGGTGACACCTCATCAGCACGGCTATGTGAGAGTGTGTATGGTCCTCTAAGCACCATGGGCTGACATTTCTTTTGCAGAGAGTAGTGTTTGGTTGCTGTGTCCTGAGCACAATAGAACCCATTGGGAACTCAGGTTTTTTTCTCCCCCACCCCCGAATTTCTTTCTTGTTGCTCTAGTTTTCTACATAGAGAAACTGCTATTTGGGGGATTCTTCCAGAACTCTCCTGGAAGAGAGGAGTGATGTCCAATGGTACATAGGTAAGTCTGCAGGAGGATGTCAGTTCAGTAACAGACACCTCTTCCACTAGCAATTCATTTATGAATCTCCCCTTCTTATATTTATATCAGCATCACACAATGCTGCCAACAAATAGCTTGAATTTCATTCTTAGTAATTATATTAGAGAGCTACTTTAGGTAGGTGTCACTGTGGTTAGATTATTATGATCACATTGTGGTCTAGAACAACCCTATTTTTATTCTTTTAGAACAGTCTTCTGATTTTTTTTTTAAATCAGGTGTGGCAGAATGCCTGGGTAGCGCACTCGGTTGAGCGTCTGACTCTTGGTTTCAGATCAGGTCATGATCTCACGGTTTGTGAGTTAGAGCCCAGCATTGGGCTCTTCACTCACAGTGCAGAGCCTGTTTGGCATTCTCTCTCTCTCTCTTGCCATCTCTGCCCTTCCTGTGTGCTGTCTCTCTCTCAAAATAAATAAATAAACTTTAAATAATAATAATAATAATAATAATAAATAAAATCAGGTGTGGTGGAATCTTGGCTTGCTTTCTTCCCTAGCTGTATAAATTTGCATACATGAGTTAGCCTTCCAATCTACTCATTTGTGATTTTTCATAAGGCAAAATAAATATTAAAATGTCTGGCCCAGGTTCAAAACAAAATAAATAATAGTTTCTTCACTGTCCCTTTATTAATTGTAATTAGTCTAGGAGCTTTGGAAGAATCCCAAAAATAAAAAAATAAATGTAAAAATATTTTCCTCTTGCCTCAATTTAAGAAAAAGCCCAAATTAATTTTACATTATTTTGGTAATAACAGTTTGTTCCTGCTTGCAGAGATTCTTGTCTTTTTTTTTTTAAGAAAATCTTGCATCCAGTGTAGAGTTAACAAAAACAATTAAAAGGACTTTAGATATTAAGCCTATTAAATCCTATAGTACTCCATGAGGCCCTTGCCCTGACACATTGAAATATATTTTAAAATGTTTAATAACATTGGAATGGTCAGACATGCCTTACTTATGGGTTGAAATGGTTAAGTCTCGTGGTTGCCAGTAGCAGGAAACAATTTGAACTAATAAACACAAAGGGCACTTTATAGGAACGATTTGGGAAGCATCTTTTCTTTAAATACTCTTCCCTGTAATACTTCAAGTTTATCCCTTTTTTCCCACAAATTGTAATTTAAATGTCACTTTCTCAGTGAGGCCTTCTATGATCTCCCTTAGGACAATCCCCTATTCCCAATTCCCTCTCTGAACTATATATATATATATATATATATATATATATATATATATATACACACATATATATATTTATACACACACATATTTATATTTATATTATATTTATATTTATATTTATATTATTTATATTATTGATTTTCTACTTACTCTTACAATATGTAAGGTTCATTAGGGCAAGGATTCTAGACCATTTTATTCATTGATTTTTGCCTTAGCAACTAACATAGAATCTGGCATACAGTTGGAACTCAGTAACTGTTTAGTGAATAAATGAATGAATCTGAATCTCATGGAATCTGAGGAATAAAAAAAAACTTGGCTTCAGAAAGAGCCAAGGTCAGGTTCCTTAGGATTATTTAGAGTTTTCCCCTGGAGCTCTTCCATTGACATGGAAGTCCGTTTTTATGGGTAGAATTTGTTTTCTGAAGTCTCAAAGTTCATTCTTTGTCAACATACTCAAAAGTATTTGTTTGAAAGAGGGTGTAACTGACTTGCCTGCCATTAGCACCAAATGGCACCTCAAACATTTCTGCTTAGATGTGGGAAGAGTGGCCAACACTCAAACACTTACCAAGTGATACAAAGTTGTGAAGCAGACTGGGTATGATTCACTGTGGCGTAGTCTACCCTAGTAGTGTATAGTAGGGAATAGCGTGCTGAAGCAATGAACAAATTCCACTTGTAAAGGGTGAATGAACCCCTTATTCAGTCTTGCTGATGTTCTATTGGGCCAATGCCCACTTTTCTTAAAGATTCTGATTTTCAAAAGAAGCTATAAATAGGTATCTTTCTATACAATTTTCTAATTTCAAAATTGTGAAATTTAAAATATTGCATTAAAATAGACTGTGAAGGTAGTGCAAAACATCTGTAGAGGACGGAGGTGGCCAACAGGCCAGGTGTTTGTAACTTCTGGACTAGAGAATCTTACCATTCTAGTTATCTAAATTTTATGATCTAAGCCATCTTCACTTTATTTGTAACGCTTACAAAATTACTAACAAAACTTGGTGCTTTCCAAACTAGATTTGTAGAAAACATAGTTTTAAAGTTTTTCCTTCTCAAGAATCCCCTTTATTCCCTTGATTATTTTAGTAATGCCCATTAGGACCTTTTCTATCTCCATCTCCCTTGAGGGCTAAGTAGAACAGGTGAGAGAATATTGGATTTGCACATAGGAAATCTAGTTTCTATCTCTGGATTTGTCTACCTCTTACTGGCTATGCAAACTTGAATGGAGTGATCTCAACTACGTAGATCTCTTCCACCCTTAAAATGAGAATGACAGCACCTGATTCTTTTCACCTGATGTGAGGCCATGCACATGAAATAATCTGTAAACTATAAAGTGCTGAAAATGTACGACTTACCTGAGTATAGTAACACCATCACTTTATATGACAGTTAAATCCCACCGAATGCTTTATTTCTAATAAAATGCTTTACTGCCAATAATTTTTTTTTATTTCCAATAAAATTTAGAACACATAATTGTATGTTGCTGCTGACACTGCAGTGATATTCTGAAATGTTCTCCAGACTCTGATTTTTCCTTAGGTTGTAATTTATAATTTACATTATAGTACCTTATACATTTATTTTCCCTGCCACCTAACTCATCTTAGCCTTTTTCTGTCTTCCAATCAACTTTCTGCATATCTTCTTTTTGTTGTCTTTTTTATGTTCTTTTTGTTGTGTCCTTTCAGTCACCTCCAACTGCATTTATGAAGTCATATTTGATCCTTCAATTATTCATTTTAAATCACCTTCTTTGTTAATCTCTACTTTTAAAAATCACATCTAGACATCATGAGCTGCTCAAATAACATGTTTCTCATGAAGTTCCAATTCTTCCAACTAAAAACTATCTCTTACTCTTCTAAATACCTATATAACCTTATTAATTTAAAGCTCAATACATTTCACTTTGATTACTATTTGTATTCATGTATCAAAGTAGATACCATGACTCAGTATTGTTCAGTTTTGCAGCCTCTGCAACTCTGTTGGACTTTGTATATAATAGGTACTCGAAATAAATTGGATGAATGGATTTTCCTTAATTCTATTATATTTATTTTCCTGCATCAAAGTCAAGTATTATTATTCTGTTATTTTTACTGTTTTCATGATATTCTTGTATGTTATACTTGTCAGCTCAGTATTTCACTAGACAGAGACCCTGGCAATTATGAAAAAGAAAACTTCAAGGATTCTCTCTGTATTTTTTTCTAGGTAATATATTTAACATGGTGGTTGAGATTGTGTTCCAGCATCAGGTCTCTAGGGAATCTTGACACTAACACTTTTCTAAGTAGAGAAATGATCATTTATTCCTACACATTGCTTCCTGTCATTAAACCATTTCCGTACTTAAGACAAAACATTTTCCATAATAACAAGGAAACCATTTTTTTAAATTATTTGACCACCTATAGGATGCAGCACTTTTAAAGTCTTTCTGAAAGGAGAAATAAAATTACATTCTATTTTGTCAATATCACCTTGGAGAAATCTAAGAGATTCATTTATTCAACAAATCTTTATGGGAAAGCTACTAAGAGCTAGGCACTGTAAGAAACTATAAGGGTCGGAGAAGAAGAGCCCATTTGGCGCTCAAAAACCTTTACCTTTGTAATTGGCTCAGTGCTCAAATGAGAGTACAGAGGGACGCGTCTCTAACTCTGTCTTGAAGGAGGGCCATGAAGGTTTAATTGAGATGGACACTTAAGAAGAGTCTCCAAAGAAAATTTACTTGGTGTTCAAAAGGCAGGAAGTACATTCTGGAAAAAAAAAATGAAGGAATAGCAAGTGAGAAGGCATGGAGGCACGCACCAGCTTCCCCAGGGTGGTGAACTACGTGCAGGCTGTGTGGCATTTTTGGAAAGGAGCCATGGAGAAAGATACGAACAGAAGAGGCCCTAGCGCAGAGGCCTTCAAACTATTTTATATGATAGTCTAAGCAATTAAACATTTGGAAGCAGACAAAAGGACTAATATTACATATCCTAAAGACATTACTCTGATGACGGAATAAACAATACCCTATGGAAGGTAAGGTGTGCAGGTTATTTGAAAAATCTAGTTCGATGCTCTAAGCTGTTAAAGCAGCAACAATAAGGAAAGGACAGGACGGGATATACTGCTTTGGGAGTTTAATCAATAGGAATATAGACTTGTGGTTGAGTTAATTAGAACATTATTTTCCCCTTATAGAAGCCATGTTTCATATCTCTCCTAAAGTTACATTTTTCTAGGAATCCGAGGTTCTATCATTCTTTCCAGGTGCTGCCATCCTGACAAGAATGGGGATACGAATCACCACTCTGAAGTTCCCAGGTTTGCTTCCAATTTCCTCCCAATGGACACTATGTCCTGGAAACCATTAGTCTTTGCTACCACAAGTCAGCTTAGCATGACAGTTTGCACATCGTAGTCAAAAGTTTCACCAGGGTCCCTGAGGACTTATTTATATCTAGTCTTTCAATTAAATATAGAACATAATCTTTACTTACTTGGTACAACTTTGTTTTTAGATATTAGCCTGCTGTAGTTTGTCTATCCTTTGCTTTCCTTTAAAATTTTATCTTCTCCTCAACAATCTCTGCTCTTCCCTAACTTCTAATTTAGCTCACCCTTGAGCTATAGTTGAGTTACTCTTTTTTTATGTGATGCACATTTTTCCTTAGGTTTTTAATAAGGTTGTTACAGGTGACTCCAGGCTCCCTGTGTTCTAATTTCTCTCTAAACGATTCCTATTTCTGTTACTGGCTCACACCAATAAGGGAGGACAAAGAAATATGAGACAGAATGGAATTCTGATACATTACATATTACATACTGTGAAATTAAAACTGTTGGATCTACCCTTAATTCATTAATTTTGTTTTATTTTCCTCGAATTCTAGAATTATAATTCAAGTGCATACTAATTGTTCCAGTCATTCCATATATTCATCCTAGTATTGTTTTTAAGCACAGAAAAAAAATTGGAAACATAAATGTACTAAGATGGCATTTATAGTGATTCCGTTATAGTGTATTTAGATAAAGTACTAAGCAGCTGTTGAAAATTATTATTTTAGTCTGCATATTTTGACATGAAAACCTATTCATTATACATAATAGGGAAAAAACAATGCACAATTAGATGTGGAGTATGACCTCACTTTGTGATAGCTTTCTCTTTATATGAGTTTGAGTGACAGAATTTCAGATGACTTTAATTTTCCACTATTTTTTACTTTCTGGCAAAGGGAGCACATTGAACATTCAGAACACTTCTCTTCTTATTTGGTAATAGCTCTCCTGGTTTTGAATTTTGCTAAAATTTTCAGAATCAGCTATTAGTAAGGTGAATGATCAACGCTATATTAAAAAAAAAATATTTTCATATGGTGTTGAAAAACCAAACAAAATAAACCAAAAACCTTCAATCATTTTCTCTGAGTTAGCAGCCATTGTCTGACGAGAGAGAAACACTGGTCCTCACCTGTACTGAAGTCCAGTTGGGGTTCATTGTGCAAATGGTTACACCAAAATGACTAATTCAACTGACAACTCCAGATTTACTATTTCTGAGTTTGCAGTTAAACCTTATGTCTTTTTCTCTTAAAAACTGAGAACAAACTGAGGGTTGATGGGGGTGGGAGGGAGGGATGGGTGGGTGATGGGTATTGAGGAGGGCACCTTTTGGGATGAGCACTGGGTGTTGTATGGAAAACAATTTGGCAATAAATTTCATATTTAAAAAAAACATAAGTCTTTTTTTAAAATCATAAACTGGGTTGTTATTGTTTTCTGTCACTACATTCTTTGTTAAAAGAATCCCAGCTCCCCACTTTCCAGTCCAGTGTACAAGAGCACCATTTAATATTATTACTCCATACTTAGAAAAGGAAAGGACAGTGACTGGGCAAGATGACATTCAGATCTGTTCTTATTTTCTTGGTGGTACACATCCTGACATTTTGTACTTGATAACTAGTGCTGATATATTATGTGCATTTTTCTTTCCTTTTATTTGATTCCCCTTTACTGTGGCAAGTCTTGTAGGAAGGGGAGATGACTTCTTCCAGTATCCAGTGGATTTTTTCTTCCACAATCTGGAAAATTTCATCATGAAACCTGAAACTCAATATTATGCCACCAACACATTTTGCATGTTAATTCGCCAAGAAGATAAATCACATTTTCTCATGTTTCCAGAATCTCCAGGATTATAGGGCATCCCACACTTGCTCCCTGGATGCTCTACACTGGAGCCCCATCTGGTTTTCTTTTCGAAACATGTTCCCCTGAGATTTTCTTTAATTTGAATTGTATTAAATTCATCAAACTTCTTAATGAGCCTTGGGCATTGTTCGACTTGTGTGGCGGTCTCTCCTGGATAGTAGCAGAGGGGAATCTTAACTGCCTCCAGTACATGTACTTCTGGGCGTTCCCATCAGGTCTAAACACTGTTTCACATTATGTGAATGTCATAAATAACTTGGTTGAAAGGGTCACTGTTTTCTTATCTTGAAAAGAGTCAAAGGGCAGTTTGCATTTATCTAGGAAATGCACCTCACAGATGCTAGTCTTAAAAGCTCCTCAGGGGACGGGTGGGGAAATACTATTATCCTTACATAATTCTAAAAATCTGAGGGGGAGTGAACAAACTGCACAAATTCTTCCCTTTCCTTTTCATCAAGGCCACAACAAAAGAAAAAAAAAACCATCACTGGTAATTTTGATTTTCTTACACTTTGGTATCTTCTCAGAAGTATAGATTTTTCTTGTCACATCTTAGCTTATTTCCTTGAGGATATCTTTTAGTTGTACACAAGGTGGGTTGTCAGAGATTTCCTTCGCTAGTATCCTGGAAACAGTCTAAAGTGTACCTCTCCAAATCAGACAAGCAAAGCCAGAGTTTTTTCTTTTGTTTTGTTTTCCTGTGATGAACTGGGATCTAACCTAAGAAATTTAACTCAAATCAGGTTTAAAAAAAAAATAGAGTTTGGTAACTGTATTTTAAAGGCCCCCTACACAGTCTCCAGCTGTCTGGATCTGTTCCTGGATGGAAATCGTAGATGAGGTCTGTGATAGCTCCCTATTGAATTTTCAGGCCACCACCCAGTTTTAGTTCATGCTATCTGCTCTTCGCCAAATTCCACTTCCTTTAGACTATAACCCACATTCATTTATTTATGTTTGAAGTCTGGGAAAATCAGCTTCTAAATACAAAAAAATTTGAATTTTACCAATTTACCTTAAAGAACTCTCAAATGCCTGCAAAATTCTTCTTAAAACAAATATTTTGAGATCAATTCTACTTTATTGTTGGCTTCTGTACCTGAATACAGGTTGTTTTTTCTTTAATCAACTTTGTTGAGGCATATTCTATATACAACAGAATGCACTTAAATTAAGTACAGTGTGATCGGTTTTTCCAAGTATACGTATCCATGTAGCGATCCAGTCAATCAAAATACAGAATAATAGTTCACTCCCCCCAACCCCGAGTGCATATACTGCACCATTTCTGAGGTGGGACGGAGGCTGGCAGGTATGGGGGACTGAAAACCAGTCTGTATAGCTGGCTTAGTTGAAAAAGCAGATAAGAATGACGTGAAAAAAGGTTAGACAAGCAGGTAAGATCTGATCTTGCATGAAATAAACTTTGACTTTATGTCCAATGTAAGGAAGCCGTTGGGATGCTCTATGGAGAAGAAGAGTATGATCTGATTTACACCACATTTTCCGTCCATCTCTATCTGTCTGATCCTACACTTTCCACTGGCCTACAACCCCTATTTCAGGCTTTCTGGTCTCATCCACAATAATTTTTAGGGTATTCTTTTTAACATTTTTTTTATTAAGAAATCTTTACACCCAACATGGGCTCAAACTCACTACCTCAAGATCAAGAGTCACATGTTCTACTAACTGAGCCAGCCCGACACCCCTCTTTGGCATCTTTTTCACCCCTTGAACTTTCCTACTACATTGTGTCTTCCATTACTTATGCTATTGCTTTTATTCTACTTTCTAGCGTGCAAAAGGAATGAAAGATGGAAGAAGAACTTTTAAAACATATTGTCACACTGGCCATAACACTAAATTGTGTAATCATTCTGATTGGCAATTTACTGCTATGTAAGTAGTTATATGAAGAGCAGGATACAGTAGGAAAAAAAACCCATTTCTTAAATGCATACTTTCTGGCATTACTCCAGACACTGCAGGAAACACTGTGCACCATAGCATTTAATTTAATAACTACCAGGCTTAGTAGATGCTACTTGCATTAGCAAATGAAGAAATAGTTTCAGAGAATTAAATCAATGTGCCCAAAGTCACCTAAGTGGTAAGAACGTCCAGGTCTTTATGGAAGCAGAAGCCGTTCTATTCTCCTAACTATTGATCTCCTTAAAATTAGGATTTACTTTCTAGGAGAAATAATATTAGCACTTAGACCATGCGAACAGAAAGGGGGAAGGGATGCAATATTTATACTAAGTTCCTAATGAGTGCTGTTCAATAAGCTAGGTACTTAAAACATTACCTCCTATAATTATTCCAATAATCTCAAAGGAAACAAATTGTTTTCCACATTTTATTGAAAATAAGTCCTAGAGAGGCAGTGGGTGGCTCAGGTGGTTAAACCTCGGACTTTGGCTCAGGTCATGATCTCATGGTTCGTGGGCTTGAGCCCCGAGTTGGGCTCTGTGCTGACAGCTCAGAGCCTAGAGCCTGTTTCGAATTCTGTGTCTCCCTCTCTTTCTGCCCCTCCCCCACTCGTGCTCTGTCTCAAGAATAAATTAAAAAAAAGTTTAAAAAAAGTTTAAAAAAAGGAAATAAGGCCTAGAGAAGTTAAGGAGACAGCACAAAGTCACACAGCTCATTGAGATAGAGCTGGAATTTGATTCAGCTATGTCTGTTTCTGATACCCACGCTTGTTTGCACCTAACTGTGCCACTTTTATAAAGGAAAAGTTGTCATAAACTCTAGAACGAAAAGGTGCATAATAAATTTATGCTGCAGAAGCTTTTATCCAGAGATGACATAGAAAAATCTTGCACCACCAGGGAGGAGACCAGTAATCTCCCTCTGCTTTCTCAGTGTCTTTGAAAGAGAACACGGTTGTCAAGTACCCTAGAATTAATGACATCTTTTGATGGAATGATGGAAGCCTAAGAAGGTCTGTGCTTCAGGACCCCTACCACAGAACAGGAAATGGAACTTTTTCCAAGAGAAATGAAGTTGCCTTCTCTGGGGGGAAAACCAAAAATAAAGGGCAGGGGAGAAGCATTTAAACGGGCGATCGGTAGGAAGATGTAAGATGATAAAAGAACTGGAAGTCACAAAAGTCACTGGCCTCCTAGTTTTAATAAAAGGGATAGTCTCCAGCCACACTTTATGCAATGAATTCTTGGACATACGTTTCTAAATTTTATCTTTAACAACGCAGGTGTTTCCATCCAGAACCAACCCCTCTCTTTACCTAGGATAAAAGGATTCCTTTGGACTATTTATATGATTTACCAATCAGAATGTGCATTTATTCTGTTACTGATTTTTTTGTAAGTTTATTTATTTTGAGACAGAAAGAGGGAGAAAGAGCATGCATGTGAGGGAGGAACAGAGAGAGACTCACAAGCAGGCTCCACACTATCAGCGCAGAAACCGAAGCAGGGCTTGGTCCCACGACCCCGGGATCATGACCTGAGCCAAAACCAAGAGTCAGATGCTCAACTGACTGAGCCTCCCAGGTGCCCCTATTTTGTTACTGTCCGTAGCCAGAGTGTTTGTTGCTCCCCACTGTCCCAGACAGGGTGTACTACAGTTTGGGATGTGTGACTTTTCTCTGATTATACCCAGGATTAATTTTGAAACCAACAAAACAAGGAACTCACTAAAAATTTATTTTTTTCAGTTAGATTACTACTCATCAAAAATTCTAATAATTTTGAGTAAAATATAAGTGTTCCAAATTGGCTTAACACTTGCAAACATATCTTAAAACATTAAAGGGAGTTAATATTTAACATGTTGACCCTTATAATACTAACATATAATTTACTTTGTTTTAATCAGATTAGGATCTACAAAAAAAACCACTAGATCATATAAAGGTAGTATAACAATTACAAATGCATTTGTAATGTCTATATCTAAAATATCTCCTCACTGTGAATATATTATTGGATGACACAGAACCATACTAACTGGTAAAGTGATTTTTAGCTCAAAATAGAATATCTTAGTTGTTACTAAAGATTTTCAGATTGAAAAAACAGCAGTAGCTCTGGCATAAAATTATTCATCTTGGTGGAGAATAAGAATAAGAATCTCTTTGCCTATGTAGAAACAGCTTTGTGGCATGGTCTGACAGTCATGGCAAGGTTTTCTTTCTTTTTCCTTTTTTCTCAGTACATTTAAAACTAACATTCACCTGGCGTTCCCTAGATAGTTTTTGATTTCAGTAGTCGTGCAAAACAGTCACTTCTCAAAATTGGTGTGAATAAAAGACCTTAAACCATATGCCCCAGATATTTCTTCCTCTGGAATCTATTGGAAGACTATATAAAAGACCCCAGAGAAATTCAGCAAAACATCAGGACCCTTTGTCCTTTGTAACTGACTATAAAATACATTGAAATAGTGTAGATGTCATCTCTAGTGGTTTCGGGGTGGGGGGGAGGGAGAAAAAGAGGGTGAGGAGAGCATGCAGCAGAGTCCTTTGACTTTGTGGATTATGATAAAATGGCCATGACTTGTGTACATGCTTCTATTTACAATCCTTTGGAAAGACTGCCAAGAATACAGGGAGAAGATACGGAGATTCTCTCATACTATATCTATGTATCAATATACCTACCTATATACCTATCTTCATAATATCAGATTTATCTGAAGTTTACCTGAAATACACCAAATATCCTTTTAAGAATAAAGAATGCATTAGGATATTAAGAAAGGCTTTTTGACAAACATAGATCAGCACCTCAGAGCCGTGATATGTGCTTGGCCTGAATTAAGCCATTGTTTCTTGGGTCTTTCTTATATATACTTCTAGAGGACTCAAATAAATAATAATAATATGAAGTAGCTGAGAAATTTAAAAAGAGACTAGTGTGGTCTAATGGTAAATGTTTCTATGCCTATCTATCTACCTATCATCTGTCTATCCATCTAACTATTCTAACCAAAGGCCTTTGTGTTGCTACCACCCAAGACATATTTTGACCCTTATTTATTACCATACCTTGTTGCTGCTGTTGCAGTTGTTACAACCATTCTTTCCCTTTCTCCCATTACACTCTACTTAGGACATTTGTCAGAACTCTGAATATAGATTTGACAGTGGAGATGTGTCATGGACCAATCTCCAAAAGAAAAAAAAAAACTCGTTATAATTGAAATAAATCATATTTAAGAAATTACTTTGCAAAATTGGTCATCCTACTTGTTGTTTGATCACTTCAGCATTCTTCAGTGAATTGCATATAAAAAAAGGATAGATAGAAACTTTTCTTTTTCTTTGAATATGTCAACTCTGAAGGTGTAAACATAAGATTCATATCTGTAATGAAAGCAATATTAGAGTTCTCAAAATCGCAAATCCCCAAGGAGGTAATGCCTCAAATGTAAACACTGCTAGTTGCCTTTATTCACTTGATTCCTCTTGATGTGTTAAAAAACAAAAATGATAACAAGAGCCCTTATGAAAAGCATTTTTACGGTGACCTCACTTCTCCAGAGCATGAGCAGGAATTGGTATGAGGCCAGGATAACAAAAGATGGTATTTCTTTTTAAGCTTACTTCTGTAAATGTACCTTCCAATTTCCCATTTTTTTATGTTTCTCCTTTTTGGAAATAATTAATCTTTTGAGAAAATAAAAATTGAAAAGCATTTGCTCACTGAATTGGAGACTTTCTTTAGAAGAATTCCTTTCAGAAAGCATAGATCAAATCTAAGCTCATATTTTGAATATGGAAATTCTCTTGGTGATGAAAGTTATACTTAGTAAATGTGGAATGTGTGCTTCATACTTTAAGTGTTCTTAAAAATAATAGCCATGCCAGTGAACTTCAAGATGATGAAGTTTAATGGGCCCTGGAGTCTGAACAGATCTCACTGGTGGGATCCAAATATAAATTTGCAACCAGCAGCGTGTGTAGAATCAGCACAAATCAGTAGAGAATCGTGGTTCTGGTGGGAAAAACATGTGTGCCCGTCAGAGGAGTCCCTGGCTGGTGCAAGTGATTGAGGAATTGAGAACTTTGGCTCCACTAAGTACAACTGGGTGCTAGACAGAATTCCACTAGGAAATTTTTGCTGAGATTAGAATAGTTTGAAAAGGATGCCAAGAAAAGCATCATTGGTGCTGCTAAGACAGATGAAGACACGGAAAGTGAAATCATCCGACATTATACGGGATTCTGAAAGATGAGGAACTAATAAAAAGTGTTGTCTTTAGTCTTTGGACCTGCTTTTTTGTTTGTGTTCCTTTTCCTTTTCCTCCTCCCTGTCATGGTCAGTGGTTGACCTACAATTAGGTTCAAGTTATTTGGAATCTCTGGCACTAATGTCATCTGGCCTGGGAATTCCAATTAATTATTTTTGTGAAATAGCTACTATCTTAAAGCAAATCATTTATACTGGCAGAAGGTCAAAGCTAGTACCAGAGTTTGAGTGCCTAAAAACAAGTGGGAACATATCCCTTCTTGTCTTGACAACGAAAGCAATTAGGCACTACCACAGGGGAGTGTGGGATTCCTGGCATTATTGGCTTTTGCTTTGCTAACAGGAAGGAAAATGAATGATGTGGAAAGGCATAGGAAACTTAGCTCTTACCTGGATGGATCATGTCAGGTTTTGGTTTTCCCATTTCCCTGAATTTCATTTATTATTCTGGACAGTGCTCTAATTTTACAAAATGGTCATGAAAATACTGCTGACAGGTGAGTTTACATCCGTGGGCCATCATTGTCATCAGGAGACTGGGTCCACACTGAATGAGCAGCAAGAATCTGGGAAGAGGCAATGGACGCAGATAATATGTTAAAAAGAAAAGACATTCTGTTAAAGGGCGATTTTAAATGTCACAAGGCACCCCATGCCCTAACTTTTTCCAATCAATATAGTTACAAGGTAGTCCGGCCCTTAAACAAAGAATGAGAATATGAAAGTAAACTATGAAAATTAACATACTTATCATATTATTTCAAGTATTCAAATATCTTTATACTAACAAGAAGGCTATTAGTATATTAGGAACTTATAATTAAAGGCTGAATTGTTACCATATACTGAGTGGGTTATCTTATTTTCAATAGAGTCAAGGAAAGGAATAAAACCAGTCAACTGAAAACAATTATTTACTGAGTAATACTTTATTGATAGAAATTTAGGAGTTAAACAAGTCCTATGGTTTATAATCTAATAACAAAGAAAGGTTATCTATCTATGCCTTTACCATTCTCTGTGGAAAGCTGTAGACTTTTAGAAACACTGGACATGTCCTTGCAGCTGTGTGCCTTGCTGCACAGGGAGGAGACAGCAGCGTTTACACATTGTCTACTTTAGGTCAGGTGTTTTACACAAACTATCTCACACAATCTAGATTAAATGTCAGTGAGGAAAGCCTCATGGCAATCTTTTTTAGTGGATAAAAACATGAACCTCAAAGGGAAAAAATAATGCCACCAATGGCATATTGTTAATAAGAAGTGAAGTCTGGATTTTAAACTAAATAATTCTGAAGCACAAATCCGTATTTGATTTACTTCACCAATAAGCTAGAAGTAGAAAACAAATAAACATATTTTTTAAGTTTATTTATTTATTTTGGGGGGGTGGGAGGGAGGAGAGAGAGAGAGAGAGAGAGAGAGAGAGAGAGACAATGGTGGGGAGAGGCAGACAGAGAGAAAGGGAGAGAGAGAATCCCAAGCAGGCTCTGTACTGCCAGTGCAGAGCCAAGGTGGGGCTCAATCTCACCTCAGCAAAGATCAAGAGTTGGACACTTAACCAACTGAGCCACCCAGGCACCCCAAATCAGATTTTTAAAAACCTGTACTTTGGGGCACTTGGGTGGCTCAGTCAGTTAAACATCCAACTCTGGTTTTTGCTCAAGTCGTGATCTCAAGCTTTCAAAGGTTTTGTGAGTTCGAGCCCTGCAACAGGCTCCATGCTGACACATACGGAGCCTGCTTGGGATTCTGTGTCTCCTTCTTTCTTGCGCCTCCCCTACTCACGCTCTCTCTCTCTCAAAATAAATAAATAAGCTTTTAAAAAATAAAGATAAAATAAAAATCTGTACTTTTAGCCTTAGCACCACAGGAATAAAAAAAAAAAAAGTCTGCTTCATTCACACTTCATTCATTCATTAAGACTAGTTTGGAGCAGTGAACTAACCAAGGCCCAAGAAAATAAACAATAAAAGCACCTGTAGCCTTCTCCATGTCTTCTCACTTTCTGGAAAAGCCCAGTGTTTTATATTTTTTTTAAAGTGATGGCCAGTCAGGTGCAACCACAAAAGGAGACATGGGAGGAACTCATGAGAACAAAGATTATTATACTCACAGGTCCAAGACAGGAGGCAGGGCAGGCCAGGCAGGGTCCCATGGGAAAGACACCAGTGTGGTCAAGAGGTATAAGACAGGAGGCGAAAGCATTAGGGCAGAGCCTTTTCTGGGGTTTTCATGGGAAAGACAAGTAGGGCAGAGGGCACAGTTTAGAACTGGCTGGTTTGACAATTTTGGTGGGCTTTAAATAGCTGTAGGGGTGGTCCCTGGTAGCCTGGAGTCTGGTCCTGGGATGGTTAAAGGAGAGGAATATTTTCTCCTGGAGTGTATGTCAGATAGGGGAGGCATGACTTTGGTTTGGGTAGTTTGCATTTCAAAGGCATGCCTCAGGCTGGACCCTTTGCTATGTCTAAGAATTGGCTGGCCCCTAAAGGGGCAACCTCTCTCCAGGTAGAAAGGTTTTCTAAGATGTCAAACACAGTACATAGAAAATGAAAAGCATATTACAACACACTGGACCGCCTGTCTCACATGCCATGGTTATTGCTGTCTCTTAGTCTTCAAGTCATTATACCTTCAGGAATTTGGTTTGAAAATATATCAATATTCTGGACTACCTGATTAGTACACATTTTCCCTACTATCTCTCAGAGTGTCAGAGTTTGTTCTGGTTTGTTCCGACTTCCTTGGTATAGCCCAAACAACTCAAGAGAAAGGTGATCACATTATCCTCTGTTCATGAGTGAGCCTGAATTGGGTAGTGGTAACTGACTGCCCTTTATTAGTAACTGAGTCAAGAATGAACATGTGACTCTATTTTGGCCAAAATGATGTAAAAACTTCTGTAGAGATCCAGAGAAGCTCTTCATAGTTTTGCTGAGAAGGATTCATGGGGCTTCTCTCTCTCATATTGGATGTGAACTAAAACACATGTGACCTTAAGGCCTTGGGCACCCATCCATAAGCCTAAGGGGAATCATTCTCAGGATGAAGCTAGCAGACCACAGGAAAGAGCAGACAGAACTTAGAAACTAAAGGCATTATGGGGCTGGGGGTTCAACGATTGTCCCTCGGGGTGTCCTCTCACTGTTTGAGTTGAATTTCTATTGCACACACAGCTCCAAAAGTTTGCTACCTGCTACAGAAGCTTTAGAGAAGAAAAGGCTCTAGAGGACCCTTGCCCCTATGGTGGCTCTGGCATTTATCCAGGAACACTGGGTAGAAGCCCCACTATTCTACTTTTGCCTTCCAGAAGGTGGTATATTGAAGTGAAAGAGCACAAAGGAAGGCACTTTCTGTGAACCTGTCCCAGGAGTGGAATCACACAACAGGGAGTTAGTTGAGCATCTACACCATGCTAGTCACTCTCTGGGTCACGAAGGTACAACAGGAAAGCAAAATGAAATCTCCAATAACAAGTGGTCAACTGTTTAAAAAGGAGGAGAAGAGCAATTAACAGGTAAACACATAAGTACATAATGTCAGGTGGCATGAATGTTTTCATGCAAGGGCAGAAGAGTATTTTAAGTAAATATTAAAAAGTGCTGTGAGGAAGAACAGGAGTAAAAAGGAATCAAGGCATAGACAATGGCAGTGGGGGTGCGATTTTATTGAAAGTGATAAGAGAACGTCTTTCAAAGAAAGAACATATAAACAGAAGTCCAAAAGAACGGAGAGAAGCAGTCCTGAAGTTATCTGGAGGAAAAGTCTTCAGCATCTGGAACAGCAAGTGCAAAGGCCTCAGAAGTGGGACCATGTCTGGCGTGTGAGAAGAAAACCACCAGACCAGCATGCTGCAACAGACGGAGTAAGAGAAGTGGCAGATGATGAAAAAAGAGAGAGGGGATGCATGCCTTGCAGGCAGACTCAGAGACACAGTCTATCTAAGGCTTCACAGGCCATAATAACAACTTTGCACTTTCCTCTTTTCACAAGCTTTGGGCAGAGTTATGACATTCTTGCTGAGGTGAGAACATAGACTACAGGGAGGCACGGTTAGACAGGGAATGTGTTAGGAGACAAATCCAATAGTCCCAGTGAAAGAAAATAATGGCTTAAATTTGGAAGGCAACATGAAGTAGTGAGAAGTCGCCAGATTCTGAATACATTCTGGAAATTACTGAAAGATTGTCTGTGGAGTGTGAGACACACAGACCAGGAGCAGGGGAGGGACAGAGAGAGAAAAGGAGACACAGAATCAGAAGCAGGCTCTAGTCTCTGAACTGTCAGCACAGAGCCCAATGCAGGGTTTGAACGCACAAACCGTGAGATCATGACCTGAGCTGAAGTCAGACACTTAACTGACTGAGACACCAAGGCATCCCTTAAAAGCCTTTAGTTAACCATCTTTTCTTTGTATCCTTAACTGTGACAATAATGCATATATTTGTACATTGTATACATATTTATACATTTATATCTGTACATTGAAATTGAAATTAAAAAAAATTTTGATATATGTTCTTAAAAGTTAAAAATTTTATTCTGGATTTAACTTTATTATTATAATTATTAATATATAAATGACAAAATTATTATATTTAAAATTTTGATAATTAGTCATAAAAACATAAAAATTATTCTCTAAATACATCTCTTAATGAAGTGGATATTAAAGTTTATTCATTTCATGGTCTAAGGTTTTACTCTGAGATAATATAGTAAGATTTGGAATGGGAAAGAGCCATACCTCTTATTTCAAAAGTGAAAGTATGATGATTGGCATAAAGGAGGTGGAAAAGAAGATTTAACTTGTCTCTTGACCACAGACATATTCCCAGGCAGATCAGCTTTAGGAAAGAGTACATATAGAATACAAGGATATTGCAGTGAATTTCCGTAGAACTAGCTGTACCCTGAATACCACCTGTGATGAGAACCCCTTGTAAACTCTTTGGTACCTCTGGTACTCCCCTAGGGAAGAGGCAGGGATGCTTGAGAAGTTGACCCTGGATGTCAACGAGCCTGATGACGCTATGTGGTAGGGAAAAAGAGAGACAGAGAGACAGAGACAAAAGACAGACAAAAAGGATATTGAAAAGAGAAATGAGGCAAATGGAATAAAATAAACAATTTAAATTTACCATGTACTATTTTACTATTTTAGGTTGTACAATGCTGATAACGAGGTGATTGGTTTTTACACACTATTTTGTTTTAATTTGATTAGTATTTTGGGCATAAAAATAGTATATATTTTTTAGCTTATATTTAATTTTATAACACATATGTGTAAATTATAATAATCCAGGTTCAAATTTTATTATATACTTATTCAAATTATTAATTTCATTAAGTAATTGCTAAACCTACAGTACTGATTAATTTAATTCCTTCTACAAATATCACTTGAAATGTTTGCTCAATATAATCAGGTAAGGAAAATTATAATCCCTTTTTCTAAATGTGTTCATTTAATCATTTCTTCATTCAGAAAGCATTTATTGAGCACCTCAGAGATACCAGGAATTATTCTCATTTCTGGAGATAATAATATTGAATAAGAC